ACCTACCCATCACAGGTTTTACTAGTCTTGGGATAAAGGCATTTAATCAACATAATGGCCACCTTATGTGAGGACAAGTTATTATTTATCTTGTGAACACATACATCCTGGCTGACTATATAAAAAGGTGATAATTTTTTCTGTTTTTGAAATTTCCTTATAGATTGCCTGTGATGTGTACATTGCATCCTAATTTAATGCTAATTCAATAATAACATTTTTCTCAATAATCCAAAAATTTATACAGAATCCCAAAAGAATAGCCAAAGCCATCCTGAGCAAAAAGAAGAAAACTGGAGGAATTAGTTTACCTGACTTCAAATTATACTTCAGAGCTGTCATAACCTAAACGGCATGGTACTGACATGAAAAAAGACATTTAGATCAAAGGAACAGAGTAGGGAACTCAGAAATAAATCCAGTTGTTTGCAGGGAACTCATTTTTGAAGAAGGTGCCCCAAACATACATTGGTGAAAGGACAGTCTCTTCAATCAATGGTGCTTGGAAAACCAGATATGCACATGAAGAAGAATAAAATTAGATCTCTCCTCACCATATATAGAAATCAAATCAAAATGATTGAAGACTTAAGTCTTAGACCTAAAACAGTTTGAGCTCCTTATACATTCTGGTTATGAATCCCTCCTCAGATGGGTAGTTTGTGAATATTTTCCCATTCTGAGGGTTGTCTCTTTATTTCGATGATGGCTTCCTTTGCTGTGCAGAAACTTTTTAAGTAGATGTGATCCCCTTTGCCTGTTTTTGTTTTGGTTGCCTGTGCTTTTGCAGTGTCACTCAAGAAATCTTTGCCCAGGCTTGGCACCTATGACTCAAGTGGCTAAGACGCCAGCCACATACACCTAAGGTGGCGGGTTTGAATCCAGCCAGGGCCCGCCAAACAACAATGATGGCTGCAACCAAAAAATAACCAGGCGTTGTGGCGGGCGCCTGTGGTCCCAGCTACTTGGGAGGCTGAGGCAGGAGACTCGCTTGAGCCCAGGAGTTGGAGGTTGCTGTGAGCTGTGATGCCACGGCACTCTACCCAGGGGGATAGCTTGGGGCTCTGTCTTTAAAAAAAGAGAAAAGAAAAAGAAATCTTTGCCCAGACAAGTGTTCTGGAGTGTTTCTCCAACGTTTTCTTCTAGTGATTTCAGTGTCAGGTCTTAGATTTAAGTCTTTAATCCATAGAGGAGCTACAGTGAAATCCTAAAACACACACTACACAACAGAATGGAAAGGAAGGAACAGAGAAATGAAAAAAATAAAAACAAATGGGACAGAGAGAAATAAATGCCAAGATGGAAGGCTTAAACTTTGCCATGTGCGTAATTGCTGTAAAACCTTCCATTAAAAGTCAAATTGTCAAGCGGGATAAGAAGGCAAGATCTACCCATTTGCTGTCTACAAGAAATGCACTGTAATTATCAAGGCATAGGCAGGTAGAGAGTAAAGGATCCAAAAGATGTACTACGGGACCCTAAGCCTAAGAAAGCTGGTGTGGCTGTGCCAATGTTAAGCTGAGTCGATTTCCAGACAAAGTTTGTCTAAAGTTAAGAGAAAAACTTTACACAAATTAAATTGAACAGAGTTTAATTGCTGAGTTCAGAATGGTTGGAGAATGGAGCAGCCTCCCCCAACCAGAATAGGTTCAGAGCAACTCCACACCACTGCATAGTAGGGTAGGAATTATGGACAGAAAACGGAAAGTAGTGGACAGAAAATGGAATTGAGGTACAGAAACAGTGCGATGGATTGGTTACAGCGCCACATTTGCCCTATGTGAGCACAGTTTGACCAGTTAACCTCCGGTAAGAAGTGTGGATGCTATGATTGGCTAAGAATTAGCTTTGTTGCAAGAGTCTATTTCCATGGTGTCCAACCTGCTTTTCCTTCTGCTGTGTGTTGCAGGAGTAAGAGTTGTGTTCGGCTACATCTTAAATATACAAACACTAACAAAAGCTAATTAGCAAAAAAAAAAAAAGTCCATGCATACTTCTTTTCATGATATCTGACACCACAGATAAGCAAAAAATGTCCTTACAAAATCAGCCAGCAGCCTAAGGGCTGCAGGTTGGACACCCCTCAATACACCCAGTTAGGTTATAGTTCACTCTATAAACAGAAATCTTTAGGTCAATAAATCAGGAGGCAGGTTTAGGATAAACAATTATAAACAGAGATAAAGAGAGACATTTCACAATGATAAAAGGATCATTTCTTCAGGAACACATAATAGTCCTGAATGTGCGTGGACCTAACAATGCAGGTGTAAAGTTTCAAAATTCAGAAAACAAAAATTAGAATGAGGTAGAGGGAAAAATAAGCAAAGCCAAAATCAGTAGGAGACTGTAAATCCCTCTCTTTAAGGGACAAAGAATAGAAAAAGCAGACCAAAAAATCAGCATGATCTACAGGATTTGAACTATAGTAATGAAACTAAGACATTTTGGTGTGTTGAAGTCAGACTTAATTACCCGAAAAACCTCATCTCTAGGTAATGTTTGTTCAGCAGCATTTTATTGTGTACATTTCCATGTATTGGCAATTGGAATTTGGTCTGCAGAGATCAATCAAAAGTCGTTCCCCTGCACCACTTGCCATGGGAACAGAGGTCACAGAAATGTAAGTCTTCAGACCTTAGGTTGTCTTGGTTTACAAGTGTTGTGATATCTTCATTAAGGTGATCATATCATATTGGCCATGTGGGCGACCAGAACACGCTACCTCCAAATATGCCTCTGTAGCATAAAGATTATTCTGAGCTGATCTTTTTGAGAAACAGCAGACCAAGACGTTCTGAGGACAGAATGTGAGCTTCCCTTTTGTAAAGCAGACTTACATGTATAAGGGAAATGTTCTCTTGTAAGTGAACATTGGTTTTCTTTTGTTTTAGCCCAGGCTGGTATGTTGTTCAACTACATTTGGCCTGAGGCTGCCTTTGTAGCTTGATTCCCTTTGCCATTAACTGCAACTTAGCTTGCTAAGTAAATGAACTGAAAGCCTAATTTAGGAATATATCTAACAAATAGCAGAGTCTCGGCTAAGCACAGCAGGTGAGTCTCAGCAATCTGAGTCACTAACTGATTGGACCATGTCGAAGTTAGGCCAGGCTGAGCTGTAACCATTCAAGTTGATTCAGTACCTCACTTCTATTTTCTGTCTATAAATACTGCCTGCCCATGTTGCAGAATAGTTCTCTGAACTTTTTCTGGTTCTGTCAGGAGTTAGCTCTCCTGAGGAGGTGGACAAGGGCAGGGCCCGCCCTGTCCCCACCACCATCTTGGTACCACTCACATTAATTTTGTCCCTAGTGATTGCTCACACCTGCAGAGGACCGACTGTCCTAAGACTCTACCAATTAGAACTTAGTCTACCAATTGCAAAAGGATGTTGAAGACTCTCTAGCCCAGCAACAGGTACTGTGGAGACTTGAAGGTGACCTACAACAGCCTTAAGCCTATTAGCATGTCATTAGCTTTAATCTGCACCGTGGTCCACATTGTCCCATGGGTTCTCAGAGAGGCTCATGGAAGGTCCGCTCAGAGCCTTTTAAACCATGAGGTAGGCCTGACCCAGCTGGTCTAAAAGAGAACACTCCCCCCCACACTCCACCATAACCTTTGTCTCTTTGCCTGCCAACCTTGGCAATGGAGGTCCGTTTGTTTCTATGATCAGTGTATCTTACTTTGTAAACTTTCTCACTCTGTAAACCTAATAAATTTTCCTTTTCCTAATAAATTTTGTTTTACGTGTGCCTTCCTTTGAGATGTTTGGTCATTTTTCGACCAAGAGTGCTCCAAGAAGCACGGACAGCTGCCTGAAACCCCAACATTTTAGGACGCAGGCAGCTGCCTGGAAACCCAACAGTTCCAGGGCTGCCCCATTTGGTCGCTCATTTCATTGTAAACCCAGTTGTAACCGCCCTTTTGAGTTATTCGTCCTAGAGTTTCCTGCATGTATGTGTGCGATGTACATGTTTGTTTTCATCTTGTTACTCTGTGACAGAGCCCGGGGGAGAAACTAGAAGAGTAGAAGAAAAAGATCTTTTTTTCTTCTTTTACAGCAGCAACTCTGATCTCTTCCCTTATAAACTATGACAAGCGATTCAAACGGCCTCTCTAGCACTGGTAGAATGATTTCATCTCTTTGGGTCAGAGATGAGAGGTTTCCCCAGCCAAAGGCAACAGACTTCTCTAGGTTACTTTTTTGAGCAGAGAGAGACCTTTAATCCCTTCTGAATACGATTGCCAGAGTTAGAAAATGGAAATGCAGGGTATCTAGCTTAATTTGAAAAACACAGCAGATACTTTTTTTGGGGAGCTGGCTGTGCAATGCTGTAAGCAAATCTAATTAAATAACAAAGTCCAAAAAACACCTGCCAGTAGGCAGGGACTCTCTCCTCTAACACCAAGCCATCTATATTCTTTATGGAATAGGAGAGCAATAAAAAGACAGGTGGAAAAGGTCACACTCAAGGCAGTCTTTTTATTTAAATATTGTATGATGAAAGACATACAAATATCAGCTCCCAAGAACCAAATGTAAAACCAATGCAAATCACTTCTTTAGGAATAAAGAAAACCATTTAGAAAATGTGATTCTGTTATATACAAGAGACAGGTCAGGTTTTCAAACCCACCCAAGGAGGACACTTAAGACCAAATTTTGTTTGTCAGGAGTATGCATGTCACATTTACCACACAGTAGTTGTATACTTGGCAAAATATGACAGAGTCTACAAAGGGAAAAAACCCCACAGCTATTACTAAACAGAGTAAAAATTTCTAAATCGCAGAAAAGACTTCGGACATCTAAAAATATCTGCTCTTATCTATACACAGTTAGTGGGAGATAAAAACCTTCCAGCACACAATTCAAGTCAACAGTATTTTAAAAAAATACTCTACAAAAGTAAACTTTGAAAGTTTCATTTCAAAATAGCAAAATAGCTTAAGAGCCCAGACAACTGTCTTTAAAAATTATGAAAACCATTGTGCTGTGGGAAATAGTTATAAAAATTATTACTGATATGCACATATTATCTTGAAACATTATTATTTCTGGGAGCAGTAAAATGTGATCTACTGAGGAGCTACACGACCCACATAACTTGTAAAAAAATAATTTCTATGAAGGAAAGGCAAGGGTGTTGTGCAAAATCAGGTCAATCATTTGAGGTTTTTAGAATATTTACTAGTTACGTGAGCCAGTCAGTACGTTGGAGACATCAGAATGCAATCATAGTTTCACACACAGAATTACAGTGATTGGCGTCTTTTGATATTTTTGGCAACTGTAGAAAGAGAACGGTTTGTGCAACTCGGTTTACTTCATCAAATATTGTGAGGCACTGAGGGTCTATCGCAGTGAAGTAGGTCTGATTCCTACTATAGTAGAGAATGCAGTTTGTTAATTTAGCTGCACTAAATTTTAGCTATTTAGAAGACAGTGGATTCTGAGTTGGTTTATTCATGGCATATTATTATAAAAAATAAACTTATTTTACAATTATGAATGTTGTCCTGGATGATGCAACTGAATTTGAAGTGTTCAAAATTTTCACGATTGTTGAAATGAGGAGGTATAATGCTATTTTAAGACCATAAAGAATAAGCATCTGCATATACACACACGCACTTGTGTGCACAGAAACACAGATATGTGTTGTTACCACGTCAGCATTCCAAAATTTAATCAACCTCACACAGGCTTAAAAAGGTTCCAGTCTTAAGGAAAATCAACAAAACTGGAAACCCAGATTGCACATGCATCTTTGGATAAACAACTTGTCAAGTATAGAGCATACAATATCAATATGAAATGTTCATGTCCAGAGACCCGATCAGTTTCCTGGGTTCTCCACTGGATGGCTGGTGAACTGGTAACTGTGCTAATTTGGTATGTTCTCAGAAGCCAGATCCATTCTCTATTTATTTTGTTTTGTGACTATGGTGTGCATAAATCACTAAAAGGCGCCTAAGAAATAGCATCCTCCTCACGTCCTGAGTAAATCACCCAGCTTCTCGGAAACACATTCATGGGAGCAGAGGCAGGGTAGCCGTTTGCATATCAGTAACCGAGAACAATTTTAAGCTGTGTGTGTGTCTCTGCATGTCTGTTAAGACTCAGGAAAAGCCAGGCATACTGGAAACATGAAATCAGTCCCTGCTAGTTAAACTCGGGGTCGTTTGCGGCTGGGTGCTGTCTAGGAGTACGAATGCTGTACGGTGCTGTGCCTGGTGACTCTGGTGGAAGATGTAGTCATGGTCGAATTAGAATGACCAGATTCCTCTAACCCAAAATTTGGCAGAGGGCCAGGGGCTACAGCTCCAGAAACCAGGGTCTCTTGGACCTTCACAGAATCTTCTACAGGAATTTGGTAACTGGATTGCAGAGTGGAAGCAGGGGCTAGCACTCTCTCTGTCACTGTCACGTTCTGTCCTACTGCTATATTGGGCACAGCCAGAGTGGGCTGCACACCCGAGCTGGGGGCAAGGACCCTCTCTCTCTCTCTCACCATGACGTACTGTGCGTCTTGCAGGTGCTGGGTGCCTTCCAGAGGGTTAGGTATGCCCCCGTTAGGCTGGATTACTCTTTCTGTGACCACGACTTTGCCTTCGTTAGCATAATCTACCAAACCAGAGGCTGGCGCGTACACCCTCTCTGTCACTATTAGGCTCCGTGGCTGTCTGGGATCCAAGATCACAGTGCTCGGTGGCACGGTGGAGCCTGTGGCATAGGAAGTTTCTGTTACTATAATATCATTAGAAACCAGTGGATCGGGAAGAGGTGTAGCTACCTTTTGTACCTGCTTAGAAGACACAGATTTTTCAGTGACTATTTCCTGAGTTATCTTCTCCCCATTTGCTTCATGCAAAGATTTTGGAACCTGAAAGCTACTGCCAGGGGAGTAAGCATTCCCCGAATCAGCCACGGTTTGCTCATAGAGCGAGCGGGATGCTGTGTTCACACCTGTTTCTGCGACAGGTTTTTGCTTCTGCTCAATTTCCATATCTGTATCTATTTTTTGACCCAAGCAAACTTCAGCTAGTGTCTTAAATTTCAGTCCCAAATCATCTAAGAAGAGGTCGTCTAGCTCCCCTTCAATAAAACTGCAGCAGCCGATGGAACCACGGAGGGAGTCGGTTTCTTCCTGAGAATAGACCAGAAGGCAGTCTTTGGCCATGTGAGTCTCATCGTCCCCAGTGTAAGAGGCTGCTTTCTACAATAACAATAAAAAGAGACAAGGGATTAGCAACACCAGTCCACTTAAAAGTAAGACTTTATATTCCAATTCAAAATGTATAACCTAAGTCTAATTACAAGAAAACATCACAGAAAAACAGATCGAGAAATCTCCCACAAAGGACTGGCCTGAATTAGTCTTTCTTTCTCCAGGACCTGTTGTGTCCCTCAAGGAGAGGACACCACAAGCAGTCTCAGGTCTCCTCCAGGAGGTCTTTTCTCCCTCTCCCCATTATGAAGCCACAGAGATGAAGCCAACTTCTACACAGATTGTGCAGAACTGACAGAGTCCAGCCTGCATTCTTAAAAACAATTAATAAGAAAAACAATGAAAGGTAGATTATTTCAGATTAAAGGAGGCTAAGGGCTCAGAGCCTGTAGCTCAAGCAGCCAGGCTTGCATCAGAGCTGGCGGGATTGAATCCAGCCCAGGCCCACCAAACAACAATGACAACTATAACCAAAAAATAGCTGGGCGTTGTGGTGGGCACCTGTAGTCCCAGCCACTTGGAAGGCTACTAGAATCGCTTAACCCCAAGAGTTTGAGGTTGCTGTGAGCTGTGATGCCATGGCACTCTACTCAGGGTGACAGCGTGAGACTCTGTCTCAAAAATAAATAAATAAGCAAATAAATAAATAATTAAAGGAGGCTAAGGTAGGGCAGGCATGGTGGCTCACGCCTGTAGTACTAGCACTCTGGGAGGTTGAGGCAGGTAGACTGCTTGAGCTCAAGAGTTTGAGACCAGCCTGAGCCAGGGAGAGACCCCATCTCTAAAAACAGCCAGATGTTGTGGTGGGTGCTTATAGTCACAGCTAGTCAGGAGGCTGAGGCAAGAAGATCACTCCAGCCCAAGAGTTTGAGGTTGCTGTGAGCTATGA